GGGGGGAGAGAGGTGGGGTATGCAATTGCAGGTTATTGTTGGTGAGAATATATATTCTGTATTTTTATTTTTATTTTTATTTTTTTTTCTTTACATTAGAGGACATACAGAAATAGGTCGTTTGCAATCGATGTGTGACATGAAGGATGACAACAATTTTTTTTTTTTTTCCCGTAATTATTTGGTATATTCGTGATAATAATTTTTTTTTTCTTTTTTTTCTTTTTTGCTCTGCACTGTCCCTGCCCGACACCCTGTCTGGGGACGACGCATGACTGCTCACACATGCGTGTGTACGCAGGCAAAAATCGACCTCATAGGCCTACTTTCTCGTCCTACATTATATGTATATAACTTGTTTTTCCATTGTTTTCGATGTTTGTTGAACTTCAGATTGGATGGCGATAACTGCGTTTCGTAATCAGCTGCATCTCACAGGCGGAAGAAGGTATGTCGGCCTCACATGACATCATTGCGGTAGAGACGGTGATGCAGTTTGCCACGCCCTCTGTGCATTATAACTCCGAATTGCAGCACTTGAGACAGAGGGTTCGTCGTTATTTTCATGTGCATATCGATGTCGATGCAACCTTTGCTCGCAACCTCGACAACATGCAGGATGCAAGCGTCTTTCTGGACAGGCTGCATCACTCACCCCTCTTAGAAAGAACAACGGTTTCCCACCCCAACAGACCGATTGACATACAATCTTACACGGAGAAACCATTTCTGGATTGGATCACAGAACAGGAGGATGTCGATATGAATAAACACCAAAAGGGTGGCATGTGCACAAAACTCACGTTTAGGAAAAAACTGCAATCGAAGATACGTGCCGCACAATTGAGGCTACCCTTGAATGCCGCCCTGTTGAAACCAGGCGCGGCCGAGGTGTTATCCTTGTCGCAGTTGCCCTTAAAAAATTGTGTGCAACACGCTTGTCTTGCAGAGTTGCCTGTCATTGTTGCTGATGGAATTGAGTAGTTCCTTCTGGATCAAATTATGGATTTGACCAGGAGAAGTAAATGCGATAGAAATGTCATTCACTGCATCCTCCATCCTGTGATCACAGATGTGCTTGCAGGAGGGGAAACAGTGACATACTCCTTAGCTCCTCCTTCTGTGTCCAATGCAATGTCAACCTTAGTTCAAGATTGTGTAATCGAGTGCGCAACACAAGCCATATGTGCAGCTCCTACAGAGGTTGATAGGCAGCGCAAGCGACAGCAGGGTTGGGATCTCGTCGCCGCAAAGTGTAAGAAGAGCTGTGTAGAGGAGGAGGAGGACAGTAGTGATCGTAATCATCAACAAACCAAACTTGCYGTGACCATGTTCAGAGGGGATAGCGGTTCAGAGAAAGTAACAAAGCACGACGTGAAAGCAGAGGATTTAATCCTGCAGTGAACGCTCCAGAACTCGTCTCATTCCGCTGGCCAGGAAGAGAATCCTACCCCCAGCAAAGCTGTGGAGAGAAAATTTGAGAGGTCATTTGTTTATGATGGTGACAACGGAGAAAACCCTGTTATCATGTCGCAACATTTTCGCACATTTGATGGCAGAGGGCAGAGTGAGGGAGAGGAGGCATTTGATGCACAAGTGGACACGGAAAGTTTCTACATCTTTAACGAGAAACTTTTTGCAGATGCGTACATCGACGAGGACTTCTGCAAGATTCCGGAGTCAAAGGACAGCAGTGAAGCAGGATGGTGTCATGCCGTGCTGAGGTTGGCAAGACACTACAGTGAGCCACATCCCGCTTTACGTATCGTTGATGAATCGGCGTCCCCCGATGGAAAGTTAATGCAGCTAACAGTCTCATCACTCATGAGAACATGTCAGACGGGGAAGGACTTTTCCTGTGGCGGGAAGTCATGGTTTGTGCTGGTAAATAAAGAGGTTGTTATTTGTACATACGAAGGATGGGGCGATAACCTGGGTTGTGTAGTTGCTGGAGCAGTTGCTCGTGCTGATGGTCATGATGTCCACCCTGGTTTGTCAAATGCTACAGGTATCTTGTCTACTATCTCCAGAAATCTAGGGCCCGGTGCAGGGTAGTTGATCATTTTGTCCTTGACAAGGATTACAAAGATCACACATAATAAATTAGTAGAAACTTTTTGTAATAGAGGTTTAAAAGTTCGATGTTGTATTTGGTAATTATTTCAAACACGAGGAGCGGAAACGAGCTTTTTGTTTGTATTTTGCTCTTATGTTTTTTTTTTTTTTTTTTTTTTTTTTTTTTCCATCAAACATGTCGCCACTGTTATCAGCAGGACACAGTTATTTGTAATTGGAAAGTAAATTTTTATGATTTTTTTTGTTTTTCCTTTTTTTTTATTTTATCATTTTTTTTTTTTCGTTTTTTTTTTTGGGGGGATCGCCGACGAACACGTCCTAAATCTGGAATGCGTGAGATATAACTTTAGTGAAAGTCGCCTCATAACGGGCATGACCTCAATTCTGTGTGCGAATCTTCACCTTGCTATTTGACTTATGTGATGGGAACTGTGTGTTAGTGAGGATGTGGTATGTCATGCCCTCTCGTAGAGTTTGGATGTGCACAACATGATATGAGTTCGTCGTGTATGCCTTTCGTTCCAAGCATGATCCGATGGCCATTGCTCATCTTCCTCGTCTTCGTACCCGCTCGCCCATAGACCGCTCTGTGTTCCTTCTGTACATGGAGGTCGGCAGGTGCGCCACTCTTTTTTTTTCAACCTCGTAATTCAAAGACGAAAAACAGCGCACCTGCCGACCCTGCTACGCATAAGACGAAAGTGGACCCTTATAACCTCACCTTCAAGGTATGGTTCAGGCCTCTCTTCCGCGTATGATTCTGGTCCTTGCTGTATCGCATGTGTGTTCATAAATGCACGAGGAGTAACGGGGGATTTTTTTTTTTTTAGTTTTTTTTTTTTTTTTACCTGTTCTGCAAACAACGAAATTGATACTATAAACATATGTGAAGGCTTGGAAGGAGATGCAACCTGAGAGGGAACTTGAATTATGTGCCTTATCTGCGAGGACGAAAAACCGAATTGCTCTCCATCATAAAGATATGGATGTGTATGTTTGCGAAATAACAGGGAAAAAAAAATAAAAAAATACTGCACTGCAAATTGTCGACCTCGTAGACGAGTAACAACTGATATGAAAAGGTTGATATTTTTCATTCATATATTACCAGAACTCTCGCACATAATATGTAACAAAGAAAGTGCAGTACGAGGAATTGCAGTTGACGATGGCGGCACACGGATACATGACATGTGATTGCGGCCGTGCATTTGGAAGTACACAAGCTATGAACTCACATCGATCACGAGAATGCCCTGCAAGTATCATTGACCTGGCGTCATCATCTAGTGGTGATGAGAACATGATACCGACAGGGGATGACAGAGATGATGACCCAACTCCAGCAGACATTCAAGGAACCATCCACGCGGGGATAGGAAGTGAACCTTTCAATGAAAATGTTGACGATGATGAATTACACAACGGGGTCGCAAGTCATAATGAGAATGTTATACATTATGACTCTGCACGAAAAATAGCAGCAATGATGTTATCGGCAAGAGGGGGACTAGGATTATTTCTCACAGATATGGATGCGTTACTTGCAATAGTCCGTAATCCACACTTCGATCCTTGCTCGATACCTTTTCGCACAGGAAAAGAGTGTCTACAGTGGACAGGTCGACAAACAGAGGTTAATGCATGGCAAGAAGTAGATATGAGGAAGGAAGATATGTGGTTCCGTGATTGGAAGACGGCATTCTTGTCATTACTAGAATATGGATTCAGATCAAAGAACAAATTAGTCATAGAAGTTCCGGCAGAGACGGATTAGAATAGTCCAATAACAGGTGCCATAACGACATCGATGTTGAGGCACGTACAAAACACAGTGCGCACAGCGAAGGGGTTGGACATGAGAGGGCAACAAAGGTATGTGGTTCTTTTTTCGTTATACTCAGACAAAACACATGTGGATGACAGAATGAAACAAATAGCATATCCACTCATGATGTGTGTTGCCGATAGGGCAATAGAGGCCACGCTTCTAGCGTACTTGCCAGTTCTGACACACAGGCCAAAAGACGCAGGCAATACAAGTCCTGGATATGTGTTTACGCATCGTTCGCTTACGCACTGGCCTGTGTGTCAGAACTGGCCACGCTTCTAGCGTACTTAGCGTAAACACATATCCAGGACTTGTATTGCCCGTACGCACAGGTAGTGATTTCTTTTCCAGAGAAGGTAGATTCGAGGTGAAGCAGAATCGCTCCGTGATGACCGTGGTTATGTTCGTGGTTCACAATGTAGTGAAGGGTAGAGCAGGGAAGCGGTTGACGAAGTGTTTCTGCAAGCTTATGAAATTTTATATGGCACTTTTTCGGAGGGTGTCGCACACAGTAGCTTCTCTCGATTACTCTGACGAATTGTCAGGTGATTTCATGTATTATGTGAAAACTTACATGGGCCGATATCAAGCATCACGATGAAAATTGCCAAAGATGCATGATCAAAACAAGTTCAGGGCATGCATGGAGCGGTCAGGGCTTCCGGACACATTCGCAGCCGATGTATGGGAGCATCATCATATTATATTTTGCAAAGATCCTTATCGATCATCAAATCGCAGACAGGCTACAACGCAGATGGTAGACCATGTCCGTCGATCTATCGCTTTGCAAGACGAAACATAATGTATACGTCGACAAAAGATAAGGGAGACTGAGAACTGGTCTGCTGTCAGCAATGCCGAGACAAGTGGAACAAACACCTTGTCTGCAAGAAACATAGCCACACTGCGTTTGAAATGGTTTTCTTTACAGAATGTCTCCGCAAACGCTAGTAAAGGCAAGAGTGAAGAGGATGCATTCACTCTCGAGAACATATCGTATAGAGAGAATTTCAGAGTTGCGTTATCAGTATTTTTCAACGAAAACGAATGCCATCCCCCCACGGACGAGACAATGATCAAAACAAGGACGCACCTTGCAATTGCATGCACCGACGATAGAAGTATCAGGGGATCAATGGTACAAATAGCCAGAGCTTCACCACGGTTTCACGGCCGGCCTGTCCACAGCGATGTATGTGTTAGAGCCGTAGAAGGAGAGTTGTGGTATGCATCAATGGGTATGTTTTTCGTCGTACAAGGTCAGCAAGGTCAAGAGGTTCACACATCTGAGTGTGCATATGTACACTGGTATAAAGAAATCAGGCACGAGCCCTGTGTCACTATGGCATGCAAGGTTGTGAAGTGGGAGAAAGCAAATGATCGACAGCTCAACAGCGTAATTTCTACGGATACCATAATCGACACTGCACATATAGTTCCATATTTCAAGAAGCCCCAATGGGGAACAGGCCGATTTGCTGTGCGAAAGGAAAACCAATTCTATGTTAATAAGTACACACTCTGACGGATTTCTATGGGTCATCGTATGCTTGAAGGTATAACTCTCATAACTGAGACAATTTGGCTTTCTGCACGGTCCTGCATTTCCATATCGGTGCACAAACTTGCTAACGAAGACAGACATCGATTCCGCTTTTAATTATCCTCACACTCTTACAATTACTTGACATGCTAACTGTTTTATTGCACCAGAAGGGAAAAAATTGGGAAACATTGTCAATAGACAATACGTACGAAGTTGTGTAGAAAGAAAAATGCCGACTTCTCTCTCTCTCTCTCTCTCTCTCTCTCTTTCTTCTCTCTCCCTCTCTTATCCCGGTGTTTACGCGGCGAAACTTCAGACAATCCAAAAACAGTGGTCGGCAGGTACGTCATTCTATTGTCTACAACCTTATCAATGTGTGTCAAATATCAGCGCACCTGCCGACCCCAAGAAAGCTTCCAAGGGAACTGGCCCCAGAGAAACGCCGACTGCTCTCTCTCTCTCTCTCTCTCTCTCTCTCTCTCTCTCTCTCTCTCTCTCTCTCTATCTATCTATCTATCTATCTATCTATCTCATCCCGTTGTTTACACGGCGAAGCTTCAGACAATCGGAAAACGGTGGTCGGCAGGTGCGTCCGTCTATTTTGTACAACCTTATCAATGTGCGTCAAATATCAGCGCATCTGCCGACCCTAGGAAAGCTTCCAAGGGAACAGGCCCCAAACAAACGGTATAGGGGGAAGAGGATGACCTGATTATTAGTGGCGAGAAACAAAAGGCAATAACAACATGTGTCACATAACGAACGTGACGTCTGTATTTCGGGAACCATAATCGCATTTTCATATGTGATCACCACGTAAGTTTATCTAAACACATATCCATTCTAAAAGAGCGATGTGAAAAGAAAAGTTAGATGAAGAGGATGTGAATGTCATTTGGTGAAACTACATGAACTACTCTTGTTCATAGTGTATGACGCTTGTACTCACAAAGACATGCATATATGTACCTGGCAATTGATTAGACAACATTACAACGTTGTGATAAGCCTCTGTATTTGACTGATGCCCTCTTTGTTTCCAGATAAAAAATGTCATAACTAGCATGGAGCCGAAAGAGGACCCAGAATACAGCACGCAAGGCTTCTGCACAATTTGTAGTCCCTCGTCGAGTTGCGAGAGGGGGTATGCAAGAAAAAAATGAACGCAAAAGTAAGCCGGACATGACGGGCACAGTGGAACGGGTGATCCAGATACGAGCAGCGGACGCAGAGCCTTCGAAAAGGAATGGCAGTGTGGATGTGGATTTGACAAAAGAGACCGAAGACTACGAGGACGACCCGTTGGACAGCTTTCAGTACGCCGCCCCGAACAAAAGGAAAAATGAGTGTGTGACAGTAGACAATTTTGAGCAAAGAAAAAGTGTGATATTAGAAAAAACTTGGTACGCAGATGCATATGCTCTTTACATGCAAGGCAGACGAGGGTGGAGCGACAGAAGGGGAATGCAATCATCTTCAMTTCRRAAACARAATGTAGCAGATGTGAAGRAAAAKGCKCAAATGGACAACTCGAATGTTCAAAGTAGATACAACGAGGATGTGAACGAAGACGAGAATATTGATGACTCAAGAAGTGCAAACAAAAAGGTAGATTTGAAGAGCAATCAAGTCGTAATGGACGGTTTAACTCTTGTACCTTTTCAGATCGAAACTTTWTGGGGTGAACGCATTRTTGTCCAGGGATGTCATATCGCTACTTTGAAACCCAGCAGATGGTTGCATGAGACCATTATCGATTTCATGTTGCAATCAACTTTAGACGAAGCATCTGTGGACCAAAGCAAATGTCCTGTTTTCGTGTGCACATGGTTCTGGCACGAATTGATACGAGCAAAACAACCGGTGCACAAGATGAAATCGRAATGTGAAGATAGATTGAGGAAAGGAAGACAAAAAGGGCTGATTTTTTCGTTTGCATTCAGGATTAGGGATAGCAGATTGGTGATAGTCTCCATCTGGCATCGCAGACATTGGACTCTGTTGGTGATGATAAACGTAGGGGACTTCGTAAAAGGAGTTCCGAAAGCTGGTAGATACAAACCGACATTGATTCATATGAACTCTCTTCGGAATAAATACAACCCGAGCTGGGATGCACTACGTAGCTGGGTCTTCGATGAATTCTATCTTCGAAATTCAGGAGGACGTGGCAACAGATCAACCAAAGGTGGAGGATCATGGACCATGTGTAGAGACATGTTTGGAAAAAACATGGTAAAAGTTGACTGTCTGCAGCAACAAAATGAAGACGATTGCGGTGTGTACACATGCATCAACGCAGAATGTCTCATCAAACACTTCAGCGACCAACCACTTGTCGACGAAATAAGCACGGACGAGGTAACGGTGGTTATGGGCACACTGAAAAGAGAAGAAAACCGGACAAAGCAAAAGCGTCAGGAGATGGTAGAATACACTGCGAGATATGTCGCAAGCAAGAACAGGATTGAGGACGCGAAGATTGATAGCATTATCAAATCGTTAATGACACTGAAGGGCAAAGACGATGACACTTAGCCATAATGTGGCCATGAACAGATGTTTCAAGACAGAGCACATGTGACATGCTCAGAACATTGACACCATTTCATTGTGTTTCCTCCGTTGCAGGGTTGAGTGGAGAGAGAGTCCGATATCGCTGTAAAGTCGTTGGTCATCGAAGGACCGTGGGTAGTGTAGAAATGACAACGAGGGCAAAATACGACGACATCTGCAGAAAGAGAGGTGAGCAAAGAAGCAACTCAGCTCGGTTCAATGAAGAACTCGACGTGCGTCGGGCAAGAGGAGCGAGACACATGAGCAATGTAAAGGTAGATCGTGCCAAAGAAGATGTGAAAAACACAAGAGCTGATCTTCGGCAACGGTTCAGGGAGGAGTTCAATGAGAAAGGCAAAGGTGGGATCGACGGGATGTCTTCAACGCCGAGATGGAATATGGAACAAATGAGGGAGGAGGGAACAACGATGTCCGCCTCACCACGGAAGACAAAGAAATTGCGTCTGGAAGAGGAGAAGGAGGATGTCATCATTGGCAACCCACACAGAGTTCAATCCGCGCAACGCAGGGAGAGAACAACCCTTGGGGGGGGAGGTGGAAGACGTGTGGAAAACAAATGCACAAGAGCAGGAGACAAAGGTTCACCGAGGAACAGAGAGGCTAAACATGACGACAACAGTTTTAGAAAAAGGGAACTGAAAACACACCCCTATCAGTCACGTAGACAAGAACACAAAGATTATCTTGCATCGCAGGAGGTGGAGGAAAGTATGGATAGAGAAGACGAGCATTCGGAACACACACATTCACAAACAAGTCCGGCTCAGGATTGACAGAATGACCATGAGGAAGACGATTCTGATGAAGGAGGAAAGAAAGTCACAGGGGAACATATAGATGACGCAGATGAGCAAGATTGTGACAACTCTAACGAAACGACGAAGTTGCGCGAAGATAAAACAGGTAAATGCCATTGCATGAAAGACATTCGCAGCATAGCAAATAGTGTTTTTCCTTTGCATAACCAATCCAGTGGGTATGTCATACGCAAAAA